AGATTAATTCAATAGACAAATGTAATTTCATTTGAGTTTCATTTTATTACACTAGCAGTTCACTTTCTGGCTGTCACCAGCAGAGTGTGCTATATGTATTACAACAAGCAGTATCACTCTAACCATCTTGTCTTCATTATACATCTTTTCCACAAGTGTTTGATAACTGAATTTGAGGGATCAATGCAATAAATGTGTTTATCTATCAATCTCTACAGATCAAAGATAGATCTAAGAAAAAAGGTATCGGCCAATTTATTGGTATTTGCTCTTTCTAATATCGCTATCTGCGCCAAAAATCTGTATCTGTCAGGCCCTAATATATACACATACTTTAAGACTAGCAAACCATTCAAATTGTATTGAATTATGTCCATTTGATTTCAAATTATGTGTGAAGCCGGCCTTCCTGAGGTCAAATAGTCATGTTATCACCTTGTCTTTTTTCTAGGTCCCAACATAACTCAGCTTCATTAAGTAAAACCCACTCCACATTTCTGAGCTAATCATGTAGCAGATTTAAACCCCCTGAGGGTGACAACCGATAATCACTACCTGGAAGGTGGTGTTCGTTAGTTTCTTCTGGTCCAGTGTGTGTGTCAGTGTTTGTTTGTTTAATGAGCACACAACTGATGCTCTTACATTTCTCTGACATTTAAAGAAATCTAATTAGGGGTTAACAGGCAACAGAGACTCTGTTGAATACTTTCAAGCCACATCTTCACATATTCACACGTTTTTCACACATTTATTTGGACTTTTGCGACCACCTCCTCATCACAGATAGTGTTGAAATAACAGTGGGGGTTGTGGGGGGAGGCGGCTAAAGGCAGTCATTGGTTGGTTAGTAAGATTTAAACATTATAATTAAATCTCCCGTGAGGAACTTTCTGTTTTTGTTGATTTGGACAAAGCACTCCCTCTCATCTCTGTGCCGATTCTGTCCTCCTCACGTGTAAGTAGTTTTCTGATAGAGAATTTCATCCCCCTGTCTTTTAGAGGTCAAAACTAACACTGACTTCATCTTTGCCCAGGAAACGTTAATAAAGGCAGACACTGTCACCTACCCGGCAGCAGAGTTTAAAGGCAATCAAAATAAGAATACATATCAGTCTGAGATTCAAAGTTTAATTCCCCACAACTAGATTAATTAATTTGGCATTTTTACGATATTGCTGTCATTTTTCTCCCCCTGTGAGTTGGGTCATCAGGTCTGAATATGTGCCTCTCCTTTCATGCCATGTTCACTTGGTTTTTCAATCCGTTTTTATAGACCTGAATAAGCAAGGCCGCCACGTGTACTTTTAAATCAGAGCAGCATTTGCGTAACAGTGTAGAGTGTTCTTTATTATAAAAACCAGAACACGGGTCTTACAGTGCCTGTTATCTCTCCAGGGAGAAGAAAAAGGAGCAGGAGAGGGACGAGCTGTGGAAGAAGCTGGAGGAGTTGAGACTTAGCAACAGCGGTCTTGTCCAAAACAACAGTCACAAACTCCTTAGTGTCCGGAACAACAACAATAACAACAACAACAACAGCAGCAGCAGTAATAACGATAATGACAACCAGGACAAGAGTGTCGATGCTGCTGCCATCGCCGCGGATGACAAAGATCCCGATGTCAAAGATCCAGAGTTCAGTGTGGAGGCCAGTGAGAGCGACACCTGTGCCAAATGACAGCGGACACCACTTTTTATTCCCTTTAGGTGTTCACACCTGGTTCAGGACTGCCAGACGACGTTTGATGGAGACAGAAAAACACAAATTACACCTCAGCAGTATATTAAATCTACTTAGAGTGACTTAGGATGCCAGCGTTTCTTTGGCAGAAAAAAAAAAATCTATATTTCAACTTAAGACTATTTTTGGATGTTACAGTGTGGCTGCAGTATAATGTTTATTTGTCTGATCAAAGATGTATCCTTTCACATTTAGTTTCTTAACTGAAAATGATTTTGTTTGGCTATATTCATTGTAATATACATGGGAGGGGAGCAAACAATGACTTGAATTTAATGTTTCTGATCGTGCTGCACTTAGACAAGCTGAATCGCTATTTAAAGATGTCTATTTTTTAATGTGCTTTTCCTTGTTGCTGCCAACATTTGTGCGAACCTTAAAAAAGAAAGGGAACCGCAGAGTTTGGGAGTATTTGGGGCAGATGGGACCAGATCCATTTTGACATTTAGTGTCCATTATTGTGTAGATTAAGGGCTGTTTACTGGAGCAGAAGCAGATAGAGGATGGGAGGTGCATGGCCAAATACAGATAAAAACCTAAAGAATAATCACAATATGGATTTTCATCTTTGTCAGTGGTTCTAGTTGGGACTTGAGTTAAAAGCTACACACAATAAGAATAAATGTCCCACTATTTTCATGTTTCAGGTGTCGATGAATATTTTGTGATCTGATAATAGTCCCATAACACCTGAATTTATGAAATGATTTACACTAAAGTATTGAGAACACAGCTTCTTCAAGACTCAAACCTTTTTTCAGCCTGAGCAGAAGTAAAGAAATGATTGGACATTTTTGGGAAACGGGCTCATTGGTGTTTTTTGCTGAGATGTCACGAAAAGATCGGTATCAGTCATGGGTCTGCTGGATCAAATATGAAGCTACAGTCAGCAGCTGGTTAGCTTAGCATAAAGACTTAAAAACCCCAAATGTCTTTGTTTATGCTACGCTAAGCTAACTGGCTGTAACTTCATGTTTATCCTACAGATGACAGGAGAGGTATCAATCTTCTCATCCGACCCTCACAAAGAAAGCTTATGTAGAGAATTTCCCAGAATGTTGAACTCTTTTTCTTTCTTTTTTTAAGAAGTGGTATAAAGAAAAGAAACCTGAGAAGACCTACTACCTAGTACTGTATTTTTCCAGAGTATTGAGGAGGTAAATATTTTTGAATGTTGTATTTTCCAGATGGATCACGGTTGAATACAGGATGCGCTTAAGTGTATATTTGTCGAGTGCGTTCATGTGTATTGTATATTGTTAGTTTGGAAGCTTCTTAAAGGGAAACGCCACTCAAAATTCAGATTTCATGTACAGATGATTGTTTCTGTGGTCTATGAGAGTGCAGTCAGTGCTTAGGAACAGCAATGTTTCTCTGTCAAAGCTGGAAAGTAAACACACTTTTTCCTTACCACTTCGTCAGTGTACAGCACACGAGAGGTTTGATTTTGTCACCAAGTAGTCATTTCAGAATAATTGATGCTTAACATCAGAAAACACCACAGGATTTCTTTTTTTTTTGAACAAATCATCTTAGCCATCATGCCTGCATCTCCAGACTTTATAATAACCTCACTTTCGCTTTACTTCCAGTTTGTGACATTTGATAAATGTAATGTGACTGCCACAGATCATAGGAACCCATGTTTAAAATTGAGATGTGTTCCCTCTGAACGTGAGTGTCTGCTCTGTTAAGGTTTGAGTTCATATTTTTAGGTCTAGTCTCTTCTGATGCCTTTTTCTGTCTGTACAGCATTCCAACCTCTGTGACGTTGAAATAAATTGCGCGGGGGATCCTGTTTTATAATCGCAGATCTTATATAGGTTTCACCATCAAATAAAGTCGACTTTATCTTTCTACTCAAAGCATAACAAACAGTGTCAGTGTTCTTTAGTTGTCACTAGTGTGCTGAGTTGTAGCACAGTGGTCAACAGATGGTGTGTAGATCTACTGTATGTTTATATGGATGAGCATAAAATCACATAACTATGTAATACCGTAGAAGGCTGGTTGAAATGTAGACTTTTTCTACAAGAGACACCTGAGTAAAAAATAAATAAATGAGCCAATAACAAAAACTTTATTCTATAAACATTTCCAAAGGTAATAGCTTGAATTAAAATGTTTTCCTGTGAAATTCAGCCCATTTCTATAATTTGAAGTCAGCCGAAGAAGTAGTCAGATTTTAGTAAATTAACAAAACAGAGCTGTAAAAATAGCTGTAAAAGTCCTGCATTCATAAAAACATGATGTTAAACATCATTTAGATGCACCTAACATGGGGTCTTTCAAACTGTTGCTGCAGCAACATTTTTACAGTGGGTTACAAAGAGCCTCTAAAAGTGCTTCACATTCATAACTGTTGGTATCTTTACTCCTGTGGGGTCTAGTCACCTTTTCAGCATCTTAGAGAGATGAAACTTCAAACATGAAACGATCATTTTATGTCATTATGATTACATTTTTAGTTACAAAGTCTTAGCTGGGAAAGTAATGTAATGAATTTAGATAAGGATTAGCTCAATTCAACCTGGCCAACCTACAACCTTAAAATACAGCAAGAGAGTAGAACTATGAAATACACACTAACACACAGCAACCAATGCACAGCACAGTAAGGTGAGGCCTCTCTTCTTTCTCCCAGCCCGGCCACTCATTCTTTAAAACAAGTGTGGCGCTCCCTAACTCCCCACACAGGAGAGAGTCTTCAGCTCATCAGTTCAGTAGTTCTCAGATCTGCTGGATCTCTCCCCCACGAGTGTCCACAGGTAGTTAATGCGACATAATCTAGTGATAGCACATGAGCCTTAAAGGTAGGGGAGAAACGATAAGACGGTAAAAAAAAAAAAAAAAAGGTTACATCAACTATAATTTAGTGTTTTCCACAATTTCCCAGTTTGGGATCAATAAAGTCATTCTATTCTACTGACTGCCCCTTTTTTTTTTTTTTTGCATAGCCTAGCGTGTGTGTGTGTGTGTGTGTGTGTGTGTGTGTGTGGGTGTGTGGGGGTGTGTGGGTGTGAATGACATGCACCAAGTGGGGTTGTTGGGAGTCGATCAAGCGACCACATCGATGAGCACCGACAGACTCTGTAAATGGAGCGCCTTACTCTCCTTTTTAATAACACAAACAGGGAGCTGCACTGACACCTTGACCTCAGTGAGCACAGGACTTTAAGCTTCAGTTCTCACGCACACCTCGGTGCTCCTCCAGCGTCACGTGCCATCTTGCTTTAAGTTACCATGGTGACACACCCATCAGTACAGTATAAAAGTAAGCCCACGATTGCATATCTCTCTCTGGGAGAAAAAAAAAAAAAAAAAACTCCGGATTTTATCCCCACAACACCATCAGAAACAGCTCCAACCAATGCCTCTGAACTCCTCGGATTTCAACTGGACCGTCTCTGCCTTCACCTCTAAACTGACCCCCGCTGCTGACATATGTGTGGGGCTCACCATCCTCTCCATCGGTACGTGCTTCTTCTTTTAACCTGCTTTCAGTAGACTACATAATCTGTGGCAAACGAAACGTTTTTGTAAAGACTTATTGACAAGCCGGTGCACTCAGGTGAAACAACGTGGCACAAGTTTGAAAACAAGTTTGTATGCTTAAAATAGCCTAAATAAAGTTACAGCAATGCTGATATAAAAATGTATAGGCTATTTTTAGAACAATATCCAAATTGTTCTCATAAGCAATTACGCCTATAGAAATATCTGCTACATAGGGAAGTAGAACTTGGGGATATACTCTAACCTACACGTTTCCTTAAATTCAGGCTGCAAATTACTCAATAGCTAAATGTGTTTAATTTAATTCATTTATACATTTAATTCATTTATATATGTTTGAATCTGCACTTTGAATTTGATGTGCTTAAAAAATGAATATGCTTAGTGTGGGATTTTTTTTTTTTTTAAAGATCAAGTTGCCTGCAGACACCCCTCATGCATTATGGCTTTTCCTTTAAATCAATTAAAAGTAGGTCAAGCTTTTATTACATTATATATACTGTATATTATAACCTATTCCTATTGAAAATCGGCAAAGAAAGTTGCTGATTGAGCTGTAGTGTAGTGTAGTGTAGTTCACACGTTCATAACATCAACAAAAGAGCAGAAGTGTTCATTAATGTCCATTATGTGACTTTAAAAAAGCGTACACAGATATAAATGAATAAATCGTTTTTTAAGGGTGTTTGGTTGCTATCGACATTTCCTAGCAATCAGAAGCATTGAGGTCTGTAATTGATTTGAATGTGTGTCACTCTCAGACTCAGGATGTTTGAGAGGTAGGGGCAACCAGCGCAAAAAAAGTCATCATATATTTATAGTGGTAATAGGTTTCATGCCTGGTGGACACTTCATCATGTTTTAACTACCTAAAGTTATCCAAGACGGCTCTTCTGCTTCGTTTTTTTAACATTAGGGTAAGGAGGGGGGGGGGGGTAATAAGGCATACAGACCAATTACACATCAGTATGAGTTATCATCAGACTAATGAGGTAAGTGTTTCCTGTGTGTCTAACATCTGCCTGAGAGATGTTCATTTTACACCGTCGACAATCATCACTGTAACTAGCACAGTAATTGTTTTTTGATTTTTTTGCGCCAACATCAGAAGATGTTCTGATGAGAAGTCTTTGACAACACATTATTGATGGAGTTTTTTATTCTCCTATTGCCTTTAGAGGACATTCTGTATGTTTGTAACTGTTTCCATCCATCTATTGTTGAATGCAGGACAGTGGTGTAGTGGTCCCTAAAACAAGTGGGTATACTCTTCATTTTGTGCAGCAGAGGATAAACAGCCTCTGATATAAACAGTGTCATGTAAGAGTACTCCTACATATTTAGTTCATACTAGACAATTAGAGACATAGTAGGGAGGGTCATCCCTTCACCATCTGGGAAAAAATTGCAGCATACTTGAATATATAGTCAATCAACCAATAAATCAGAGGAGATTTAGAAGTGGGTATACCCATGGTGACTGAAAAACAAGTTGCCATAATCTGTAAACCTGCGTATACCCTGCACTACACTACTGTTGCAGGATGCAAAAGTGGATTAAATGATTACTCAATAAATCATTGATTTGATAGGCCTAGTTGGTGTCAGCTAAAGAGGAAAAATAGCAGCAGGTTAAGATTTGCAGAGCATTAAGAAATGACACTGTAATCTTCCTCCCGTTCTCATGAAACAACTAAAAGCACCACATTTTATGTATCACTATTCTCAATGTTTTAATGATTTCTTTGAGCTGCTTCTGAAATGCTTTAAAGGAACCTGACTGGTGTGTTATTACCACCAACTGTTTATTACTGTAGACCAACTTTTAAAAAAAACAAATAGTTTGAATCAAACAATAGAGGATGGAAACAATTAAATGATTCTTTATTCTGACAGTCTCTACTGTCAACAAAAGCCACAAACCCTATACGAACACATTGTCTTTGTAGAAAAAACGAGTGTCTTCTGAGTCCCCCAATCTGTCTCTTTTCTATCCTTCATTTTAGTTTCCTCTACAGTGTGGGGGAGAAAAAAATGTGTACCAAGGATTATTTAAAAACCTATCAGGGAATGACTCAGAATAGAAAAAGTTCAACAAAAATGAAAAAATTCAACATCACAAGGTCCTTGGTTGGCACATCCACTAAACTCACTTGGTCCAAGTTTAACAAAAACCTCTTTCTGTAGTTGCAAACAAAAAGTGATCCTTTCCATAACATAACTATCAGCATTATTAATCAATCAATCAATCGATCAATTTTTATTTGTATAGCGTCAACTCATAACAAGTGTTATCTCGAGACACATTACAAAAAGCAGGTAAAAGACCTTACTCTTTGTTATGTTACAAAAAGCAGGTAAAAGACCTTACTCTTTGTCTGTTAACATTACAAAGAGCAGGTAAAAGACCTTACTCTTTGTCTGTTAACATTACAAAGAGCAGGTAAAAGACCTTACTCTTTGTATGTTACAAAAGAGCAGGTAAGAGACCTTACTCATTGTTATGTTACAAAAGAGCAGGTAAGAGACCTTACTCATTGTTATGTTACAAAAAGCAGGTAAAAGACCTTACTCTTTGTTATGTTACAAAAAGCAGGTAAAAGACCTTACTCTTTGTTATGTTACAAAAAGCAGGTAAAAGACCTTACTCTTTGTTCTGTTAACAAAAAGCAGGTAAAAGACCTTACTCTTTGTTATGTTACAAAGAGCAGGTAAAGACCTTACTCATTGTTATGTTACAAAAAGCAGGTAAAGACCTTACTTAATGCTATTAATCCATTCCTGTCACTCATAATGGATTTTATAAAAACAAAGAACAGAAGGCCAAGTGTTAGTGCCGCTCGTCTGATGATGTCCTATTTCCTAGAAATAAGGTTGAAAATGACAGGAGCACGTCCATGTAAAAATGTTTTTTTTTTTAGTGATTTATGAAACTTTTACAAGAAGGGATTAATCAAGAAAATGTGCCAGTGGTTGGCTTCCTGAAATCCACATTCCCTCCAACAAAATTCAAACACGAATCCCTGCCATACTTGAGAGTTTGTGCACATATCGAAAGATTAGCCTCTTTCATTATTCTATTGATTTTCTTTTTTTTTTTTCACAAGACCCTTATAGAGTTTAGCGATAACCTTATTCCAATCATTTTGTGAGGCTCTGATACATGATCTCAGATTGGATCCTCAGGGTTTCTGTTTTATGTCTTGAATTATGGTCAAAATAATTCTGTACCTGAAGGTATCTGTAAAACATCAGATTTTTCAAGACCATATTATCTCTTCAAATAGCCTACTCATAGTACTGATCTTTTTCTGTTCTAACGTTAATAGTCCTTTTGTCATCCATGATTTCAATTCATAATCCATGTTGTGAGGTTTAAAATGGAGTGATTTGTATTTTATCATGTAGTTTTCATTCTTCTCTTATTGTCCTCCAGGGTTTTAATTGGGCTTTCATTGAAGTCTTTTTTTACGGCAGCTTTAAGTCCTTCCAGAGCCAACACTGCATGAAGTGGAGGGTTCATTCATGCTGGAGAGTTCGATGTCTTTCCACCTTGAAATGTTGGCGTAAAGATATTAATTAAGGGTTTGATCTGGCTAAAACAGCTGTTTTCAACAACTGTACAGCGATCAGTTTTATCTTCTGTGGACTCTTGGGCAGTGACCATACATATGAAATAAATCGTGTTTAATGGTTGTGTTTGTAAAGTTTAGTTTAGCCACACACATGATTGTTTGGTGTTCAATCTCCCCTCACTTGACTCCTCGTGCTCTGTTGACACTCTCTGCAGAAGAAAACCAGAGACATAAAGAAGCTCTGAACTGGCCGAGCCTCAGGACCCACCAACTACTCCTTCATGACAAAGAGTGACCCAAATCTCTTATATTTTTCAATCAGATTTATTTAGAGAGAGAGATTGTGCGGTTTGGACCTCAGACGGTACAAAGCATGACAGATCAAAGAAAACAAACTTGTTAAAAACAGCACTTCAAATACTTTTTGACAGTATTTTATTTCAGGCACATATTTGTGACCCACTAAAATTGCTCCGCGACCCACTTTTTGGGTCCCGACTCACCAGTTGAGAACCACTGTATTAGGTATTTTATTTAGGTTACCTCTTCTGTTTTACATGAACCCTTAGAAGCACACACGATTGAACACTACACTCTTTTTTTTCCATACGTGGATCAAAAATGACCGTGCCGTGCCATGATGTGTTCCATATCAGAGGATAAAAGAGGAAACTTTTTGCCTCACATGGTGAGTTAAAATGTCTGGAGTGTGAGATGTGTATCAAAAGTATTTCAGGACAGCACACCAAAATCTTATATTGTCCTGAAATACTGCTGATGCTTTATTTTGGTTGAGGATTCAGCACCCATCTAAGTTACTGGTTGAGGTGACCGATTTCATCTCTGGAGTGTGAGATATTAATGTGTAATCTTCTTTACTGCAGTCACACATAAAAGCCAGATTTTGTCTGTACCTTCTAAAATGGAAACTAAACAGTGATACATAAGCAAAGAAATAGGGTAACACCTATAGTGTTACTTTCCTATTTATCATTTATATTACGTCATTAACTGTGTGGGTATCACAGCAGCTTACATCTAAATCTACATTCACACAGCTCAAACCTTCATTAACGGGTTGATATGATACATTTTCCAATTAACAACCAAAGCAGACACAGAGGAATATTATTATTCATTTAAAGTCGGTTTTTGTCAGCCTTGTGATTGTTCGTCAAATATTCTCTCTCTCTCTCTCTCTCTTCTGGCTCCTGGGGGACACTGTCTGGCTGGTAAATGCTCAACCAGCTAGTTGTCCCTTGGTGTTTGTTTACTGACAGCTAGTGCCAGGTGTATTTATGATGATAATAATTGACAGAAAACAGCTGATCGGTGCAGCTTGTTCAGGCTCCACCAGGCAAGCAAGTCCATGAGAACTGAAAAGAACCAAAATAAGTTAAAAGGCCGCACAACCAAAAACAGCAAACGCAAAGAGGCTGAAACACAGCACAGGTTTAGGGCCGCTTCAAAGTCAAGAGATAATTCCCTGTAGGTTCATCACTATTCACAATCTCGTGATGGCAGCCCTTTGATCAGACACCATGCTGAGGGTGATTAGCCTAGGGGGCATTAAGAAAATCATACTGCTCTGTTCCAGTTTGGAATTGATCTGCAACTGAAACACAATAAACAGTGAAAATCCAGAGTAGATGTTAGAAATCCACCATTTCTTCGCTAAAATGACTGTTAACGGAATCTACGGCCCTTTTTTTGTGTATTGTTCATACCATACTTTTTAAGGGATTTTCAGGTAATGGTAGTATTACCTAAGAGGTTGCTGAATACTTAGCTGTTGTCTGAAGGTAGGTCAAAGGTCATCAGATATGTTGTTGTTACTCAAATTATTGCTCAAATTTCTTTCCGGGTTGTAACATTGTCTCCGCATTTTACTGATCAATTACAATACATTTATTTTTTTCTTTTCCTCCCTGTCCCTCTTTCTAGTTCTGCTCTCTGTTCTGGGAAATGGCCTGGTTCTGGTTATCTGCTACCGCAGGAGGAAAAAGATGGCGGGCTCAGAGTTGCTGTGCGTCAACCTGGCCGTGGTGGACTTCCTCTGCTGCATCTGTTTCTACCCGCTCTCCATCCTCTCCTCCTTCCATCACGCGTGGCTTGGAGACAACATCACGTGCGTTTACTACGGCCTTGGCTGCTTCATCTTCGGTCTGTGCGGCATATTCACCATCACTGCAATCAGCATCATTCGATACCTGAAGACTTGCTACAGCTTGGTTTATGGTAGGGGCTCAGAACTTTCTTGAAGAGATCATTTGAAATGGTCTTCAACAAAAGCTGTTAGGAAAGCATGATGTCATGGAAAGCTTTAATGGCTGCTGAGTGCCAACCATTATCTGCCCATTATTATATCTGCTCAGTAAGATGGGTATAGGCAGTTTTTTTTTCTAGCTGTATCTGTTCAATTAAAGAAACTACCTTTGTCTTTAAGTGTATTCATACTACAGTCCTGAGGTGGACATTTTTAGTTTAAGATGTTTGAAATACATATAGATGTGTTTGAAGTGAGTTAATGGGTGCCTCCCATCCCTGCCTCTGCTTAAAAAGGACAATTTTCACATGACAATAGTTGTATCAGTTAGGCTCCCGGGCAGTAAAGGTTGCAGCATGTTGTTATATACAAGATGATCCTTGTCTAGTCATGGGCAAAAACATTTTGTCACACATCCTCTGTAAAAAAAAAACAACCCAAAAAACCGAAATGCGATATTAACACTTGTTTTAATTCAAACAAGGATATATGTACAGTTTATATTTAGGTGTGAGGTGCTCATAGTCACCTTAAAGTTTTTATTTCTTTTGGACAGAGTCCTTAGTTTCATTTCCAGTAGGTATGTTCATCTACGCGAGCAAAAGACTCGTCGTTTCCAAATTTGTGTACAGAAAATTGCTATTGTGCGTCGAACTTTTGATAGTAGAGTAAGTAAGCAAACTTGCCAACATTTCGCACTATTCCTTTGAGTTTGAAGGCAGTCAAGACGATGATTGTGAAAGTAAACAGTATTTTACTCAACACTAACACTGGTTTCTCATTACAGCTGAGTGGCTGGAGGGAACAAACCTCCGCATAGCATGCTTTACCATTTGGCTCATGGCTGCAGTGTGGTCTAGCTTCCCTCTGTTTGGCTGGGGTGAGTACGTCCCAGAGCCTTATGGACTGTCCTGCACCGTCGCCTGGAAAGGTTATCACACCTCAGCCAAGGACGCCTTCTATGTCATCTGCTCCTTCATCTGCTTCACACTGGTTCCTATCGTCATGATCGTGGTGTCCCAGAGTCTCATCCTCTTCAAGGTGTCCCGCTTTTCCTACTCGCTGTCTGCAAAAGGCATCCGCAACAATCTGCGGCATAAAGAAAAAAAACTCTCGATGGTGAGTGAACCAAAGTGTAATTGATAAGATGGGTCCTTGGACTACTCCTTGGCAGGGAGCTGTGACTTTCCAAAAAATCTTTATATTAGGCAACACACGTGAGGAGTTGACCTAAACTGTACTGCCCTGAAACTGGATTGCTTTTTCTCTGACTCCATGAACTTGGTTTGTTTCAGACATAAAAGATAAATCTTTCAGGACCCCTTTTTTTAAAGACTATTTCTTTGACCTCTGCAATGACTTCCTGAGGTGTTCAATGTTAATACGTAAAGATGAGGATTTGACTTCTATCTTATATTAGAATCCAAAAACATAGATTTTTTTTAGACTTATCCGTATACAAAAACATTCAAGTCTCAGGTTTCTACCTGCTGAAATCCCGGTATGAAAAACCCTTGTGTTTCAATGTAGTATAGGACGTGTTTGCTTACACCTTTATTAGCTTCACCTGTTACTGTCCTCTTCTTGTCTCTTCTGCTTTTAACAGTACTGAGAAGACCTGACTGGTTTTTTTCAAGCTGAAGCCTGGTGTGTGAACGAGAGAACCACAGATGGAGTCATTATTCAATTTAATAAAAGACATTTCTTTCCAGGAAAAAAATAGCCCTGACTATTGCCAGTGTATTTCTAGTCAGGAAGGTCTCCAAGGAAACATGCTTCATGTGTCATATGTAACATATGGAAAATTATTCAAAAATGTCTTGTGCGTGTTTTTTATTTACATAACTGTTCCAGTCTAATAACCTTGTGTAATCTGTCACTTGCTCTTGCAGATGTTTTTCTGCATCAGTCTTGGCTTTGTGATTGCCTGGGCTCCGTATGCTGTTGTCTCCTTCCTTTTCATTTTCCACAAGGATGGTAGGTACATGGCTCCCAAGGGCTTTGTGTTCCCTGCCCTCTTTGCCAAAAGCTCACACATCTACAACCCCTTCATCTACTTCTACTTCAACAAGACTTTCCAGCAGGAGCTCCGCTGCCTGCTCCTATCTTTGTGGCCCAAGCTTGGAGGAAATCGAGTGGGTGCCCATGTGACATCAGGCCAACAAGCCCCTTATCCCATCCACATTCAGCTCCAGGAGAGACTCTGCACCAAGAACAAACCTCACAGTAAGAGTAGAACCAAGAGCGGTGGCAGAGCTTCGAACACCAGTAGCCACCATTTCAGAGACAGGCCGGTGTACGCCTGCTGGGGATCCTCGTCCAAGAACATTTCCAACTTATTGGAGAATAAACCTGCCAAAGGCTCTCTTCCTATCTCTTTATGAACTTGTCTATTTCTGTTTACACAAGAATCACAAGTTCTGTGGCAGAGACACTCATCCATGCTTTCATCACTTCAAGTCTGGATTAGATGGCAATGGAGTCCTGTCCAGCAAAGACCTGGACAGGTTCCAGTATGCAAGAACTCAGCTGTCAGGGTCTCTCACACCAGCATATCCACCCATCCATTATCCACCGTCACTGGCTCCCAGTCAGGTTCTTCATCACAAAAAACATCTTCCTCCTCGCCTACAAATCACCACATGCCCTTGCCCTCAGTACCTTTAAGACCTCCTCCCCCTCTACACTGTGTCCAGGAACCTTCGGTCTTCGAAAAATGGTCTGCACGCCACTCCCCATACCAGCCTGTGGACTTAACAGGGGCAGAGCCTTCAGCGTGGCTGCCCCTACCCTCTGGAAATCCCCAATACTACATCTTTGGACACGTTCAAGAAACTCCTTAAAAAACCAAACTGTTCAACTCCTGTGAACTCGGTTAAATCCTTTTATCCCCAGCAGACTTGGCTACCACTCTTTGTTTTACTCTATTGAATTATTTCTTCATTTATTTTGTTTTGTCTTTTGTTCATACTCTTTCTGTCCTCATGTAAACCGTCCATGGGTCCCTTGATAGGCCCAATATAAATACAAAGCAACTATCATTCTTGCAGTCCTTTTATTTATGCTCTTATCTCGTGTTACTGTTTCTTTTCCCTTAAGCGCTCTTAAGTTCAAACTTGGTAATTTTCTATCTTACTATGTATTTATGTTTTATATGTATATATACGTCTTCTTATTATTACTATTATTTTGATTATATAATCTTTTTTTTACTGCTCTTGCCTTCTTATTGCTGTTATCTCTTTTTATTTGCTTTTAGCTCTTTTAGTTTCTTACATCATTTTAAATCTTTGGTCCTCTTGGTCTCAGCTCGTGTTGTTGGGTTCTTGTCTTGCTTGGGTTCTTAAAATGGTTCTTATAATGGTCGGGTTATATATGTCTGTTGGGTATCTATTATTTTCTGTTTGTCTTTTATTATTTGGAGTATTTTGCATTTGTTATATTCTTGCTGTTGTTTATGTTCTTCTGTGTTTGGTTTGGTTTAGTTTGCTTTGTTCTTGCATTTGCTGTTTGTTGAGGCACTTTGTAAACCTGTGTTTTTAAAGGTTTTAAATAAATAAAGTTATTATTATCATTATTATTACATAATTTACAAGGTGGCGTTTTGTAAAATCATCTCCTTATAAATAATTCTATCTGGTTTGTGTTCAGCAAATGTAAACATCGAGTTGCTGGTGAAGCAGTCTTAATGATTTATTGGAAACAGCTGAATAGCTAACTTTGTGTTTTGTTCTAAAAACACGTTCATTTGTGGAACACAACTCCCTATCAACGGACCATGTCTGTGTGATATTGAGATTATAAGTGCAAACTGTTACAACTGTGACTTTTTATTATTTGCCCACTTGCATTACAAATTAGAAGAGCCACAGAAATATTTTGTTAATTAATTAAGTTAATCGGTTCAGGGACTCTGGTTTTTCAGTATGATTGATCTTTGTCATCTGTGTCCCAAATCCATAAAAGCCTTTAAACTATAAGTAAACTTAAAGGAACATTATGGGGTCGTCCACGATGTACTTGTCTGCATTCACATCCAGCGAGTTAAACCTAGAATTAAATTCAGAGCTGAAATCATCGGTCGAATGGATACAAAAAATGATGAATGGGTTCTGAATGTTACCAAGACAAATAGCGTAGTTATGGGCTGAAGTCTCTCTCTTCATAAAGAACTGGTGTTAAATCTTTGTATAAATGGCGGGCCAATCAACCAAGTGCATAAGACCAAGCTCCTGGGCATTATCTTGGAGAGAAAACTATACTTGAAGAAACACATAGACAGGATAGATGCTAAGATGGGTGATGCTATTCTTATTATTTAAAAGAAAAGTTCAAAAATTTTTAACAGCAGACTCAACGAGACAGGTGATCAAAGCATGACTTCTTCTCTCTGTTGCCCAGCAGTTTGGTCCAGTGTCACAGTGGATAAAATCAAGAGACTACAAACAGTACAAATGAGGGCAGCACGGATTGCACTCCATTGTGGACAGTGAACAAATGTTGTTGCAATGCATCACTGTTTGTTTGCAGAGACTATGATACTCATTACATACATTCCCTGCAAATATCACTGTTAAAAAGATTTAAATTGGTATGTTTGAAAATGTAACTTTCAGCTCAGAAACACTCAACCAGACATGCATCAGGAGCAAACTTTATTTTACCAAAACACGAGAACAAACTCAGACATATTAAACAAGTAAACGATAAAACTAGACTTACATTTTTATCTAAGAAGCACTTTTTGACACTTTGACGGTTAAACTTTTGAAATTGACTGATAAGAATCTCCATCATCACTGCGAGCCAATTGGCTGGAAGTGTAATTAATCTGAAGGTTGTTGTGAGATGTGCGTGGAGAGGGTCAATCTCTGTCTGTGCTCACATTAGTACAGTTGCGTTCAATGGGCTGTGTGTCTAATTTTGTGTGAGTATGTATACGTGTGTGTATTTGTATGCTTCTGCATGTACATATATGAATATACATTATTTAATTTAATCAGTTTATTGTGTGTATAGGAAAAAATGGGCTTCTTAATATTATGTGAACGTTCAGTTGCTTAGATTGACGGCTGTAACCACCAGGGTGGGTGTCATAGTATGTTGTACTTACTTATGATCATTTGAAGTACTAAACCAATAGAGATAATAACGATTGTACTACTGATTGTAGTGATGATAATGATGATGGTGGTAGGGATGGTAATGATAGTAACAACAAGTGTTGTTGGTGTTATTATGGTAAAAATGAAAAAAAAACTACAATTCATACTGTCAGTAGGTCAACAGACTATCACTGGCTGTTACACACTGATGTCACTGCATTGAATTAATCTTACTGTGTTATTGTGTCACGTCTCTTATTGTTATAACGTTATGTGCTAAGATGTAAGTTTTTATATTGAATGTTTTCCTGTTTATTGGTGTTATGTTGATTTAAAGATGTAAGATGACCTGACACAGCCTCTGTATAAGTTGTTGTGGACCCCAGGAAGAAAAGCTGCAGCATCCTAATAAAACTAAACTAAACTAAACATCCATCCGTCCATTATCTTCCGCTTATCCGGGGGCCGGGTCGCGGTGGCAGCAGGCTAAGTAAGTTTCCCCAGACTTCCCTCTCCGCAGCGGCATAAGAGATCAACTCTGGATGTGTAGCAACACCACAACATACTGGTTTTATATCTTACTTAGCCTATAAGATAAAGTCATGTTTTCGTTCATATGAAAATTATTTTCTGTTAAGTAACTTATAAGCATTTTTCTCATCTTTGTGTATGAAAGAAAAATATTTTATATTGTATTTATAACAAACTAATGTTTCGTGACATTGAAATTATTTTAGATATTTATTTCTTTATGTATACATAAATTGAATATTCCTCAAACATGTTAATGAAGCAAGGCTGGAGTATAATCACGCATCAGTTTAACCGAGAATAAATGGTTCAGCACCAGGGAACACTGTACACCACTCTCTCATTTCTATTCAGCCCACCATCTCATTCTCCGGGGATTCTACATCTGTTGAGTTAATGAAAGAAATAGAAGTTCACTACAGAGCAGAAAAGGCATCTTCTCATATATCTTTCATGTGAAGTGAAAGTAATTGATAAGAATCAAGTGCAGGTGTTATCGAGATTGAAGGCCCATTTTCTATCGCTTTCTGAATAGTACTGCGCAAATGACATACTCACGGTATTGAAAGAGCAGAGAGGAGCACACTACCTGCATGATGATTGCACGGGAGCGAGCCGGTCAAAGTGTTTAAACATTATTGTCTGCTTGTATGCATGCGTGAAAAAGCCATAAGACTGTAGGCTGAAGAAACTGGAGAAACCTTTATGTTACTAATTGGATCGTGAAATGCCACTTTGAAGCCTCATGTTTTGGAACTAGAAGAGATGTTGGAGATAGAGAGATAGCCAAACATATTCTGTCAGAGTCTGTCTCATTAGCCAGCTTACAGTTTATTACAGATGGATTCATATTTCAGCCAGGGGTTTGTTCCTCGGTATCTACACAGAAGGCCTCGTGTGAGTAGCACGTTATTTTTGCCTTACCCAGATTATTCTTTGGGTTTATTCCATCTTAATATTTAGTTATGGTCACCAGTGTTATGTGAGCGCTTAGAGCCTAATGCTCAGTGTCTGTGGTTATGAACATACAATGTAGGGTAATAGACTGGGAATAAAACATGTTCTGTTTTCATTAATCGCCAAAGTAAAAAAAAAGCTGTTACTGAGCTACAGGCTGAAAACTTTATGAAGATAAGAGTGGATCTGTAGTGCTTCTTGTGCACACACATCTTCAGAAAGCAGACAAAATAAGCCATCATAATGCACTGATAAATCTAAACTGAAATATACATGCATCCTTCATAGAAACAAACACAAATTAATGTATTTGCATGACAGTTTTATGAGGTCAGTCTTGTGCAAACAACGAGCTCCACTGACTCGTTTGGCACTCATTACTACAGATGTAAATTAAGCTGCTAAAACGTGATCGCCATCAGCAAAAGATCATTTGAAACTGCAGGGTGATCATTATTTCTATTAGATGTAATTCATTTACAGCCTTATTAACAAAGCTTTCCCAAAGTGTGTACAGCAGACCTCCTGTGTTTTCCCCAGGGTCAATATCTACAAATCATAAATAAAGGAGGAAGCCACATTTACACACACGCTCAGCCACAACAAACTCCAACAGAGCAACAGTGACATTTTCATTAAAATCCAAAGAACTCTAAAGTAGTCATATTTTGTGTCAGACCGTTCCTTTGAAAGGTCTTTGAAGGTGAGCGGAGGGATTTTTAGCCGGGCTTTGTCTGCGTGCTACTGATTATGTAACATTCAACAATGGGCAGATTTAATGAGCAAAGCGGAGAGCAACAGCATGTTTTCTCCTTTGTCCAAATCAGCAAGAAGATGTAATTGAATTTAATACGCTGACCTGTCACAGGGTTTAATTTGGGTTATTACCCTGGTGACATACACTCAACAAAGCTCAAGAGTTCTGTGTAACAAGGAAAAAAACAGAGAGCTGGTATCAAAGGCAGATCTGTTAGCCTTGGTTAGTGTGTTTGACTTAAACTGGAAGAACTGGCTTCTGGGAATAAGAAAGCTTCACAAAGAGGAATTTCAGTATGTGGCCAATTACTCTTCGATGCTAATCCACCCACACGCTCCCACTTTTTCAATTCAATTCAAAAAACTTTATTTGTCCCCGGGGGGCAATTCAAAGGCACACAGAGCAGTAAATTAACAACAGTGCAAGTAAACAAAACATTTTAACCTAAATATAAAGTGTCAATTTAAATACAACTTAAAGCTTAAACTTAACTTAAATATACAAAATGTAAAAGAGTAGCTATAAGTGGACAGTGATCGGACTAACAGATGTAAACAGATGTAACCAGAACTATGTGCGGTAAACGAGAAATAAATATATATATACAGAGCTATGTGTAAGTAGGCTAAATACAAAATGATAAGTTATTAAGGTGCA